CTACCCGACAGGTCTACAGATCGAATCCCCTACAACCTACGGACCTAAAACAGCCTACCACTGTTTGCGAATACACAGGTCACGGGTTCAAACACTCGGGGGTCAACTCGGTACTGTACATGGGTAAGGTAAGGTCTGGGGATCGAATCCTGGGATCTGCATCTGCCTCTGCAAAGGTGAAAACCGTTTCATGACCGATTATACACCAAAATTAGGCTACCGTCTCTTCACGAAACCTATATCCATATCCAACACTCTTCACAATAGGTGGACAAAAGAGGAACCACAACTATCTAACAACCCTCTTCAAACCACCCTGGACCTCTATCTTCACCACAACTTCCACAAGACCGGTCAAGGTCAAGATAGCCAGTCTAAGACGGTTAATAGTCTTCAGACTCTTTTCAGAGCAGTGCCAGGTAACCAATGGCTGGCACGCAGACCCAAACAAGAAAACAGATCGGAACAAGACTCCTGGTGCAAAGTCTGCAACACCCAATCCATAGAAACCCTAAATCACTGCTTCAGTGCTTGATAGATTGCCCAAAAGCCAGATCTATCTGGCAAGCAATCAAGATTTCTTGGAACAAAATCACAAACCTACCTCTTTTAATTAATCCCGCCACACTACTCCTCGAACCCAAACAATCCCCTCCACTCAAGGGTTGTGAAGCCTTCCTCTCTTCGCTCATTAAGAAAAGCACTCTCTGGACCATATGGAGAAACAGATGAGATAGCACCTTCGATGACCGCCTCACTTCCCCAGAGAACCCAATCATAGTCAGAAAAAAACAGCTAACAGACACAGAAATCCACGCCCTTTGGAAAAAAAAACAACTCAACCAACTCCCTACCGGCCACAATAAAAAAACCGGAAAAAAATCAAAAAGTTCATTACTCTCAAACTAGAAAAAGGACAGCTAGGCACAATAATTATTAAATAATGACGGACTCACCCTCAAGAACTGGATATGCATCATACTAACAACTCCTAACCAGCTACCACCACATATATCCAGCCACTGCGAATATAGTACCAACCGCATAACACCCGACCATCGTCATAACAGCAACCCCCCCCTTCCTCCCCCCCCTCCCTCCCCCCCCCTTTCACACAACTCCTACAACCATCCCTCCTCCATAACCTAAAATACTACCGAGTAATCACAAAACCAACTAACACGCCATTCTTCCCACAATTAGCACCTATCTAAATCGCCTTATCCCCCGCCAACCCCCCTCCTATCCCACCAACCCCAACTAGAATCTACCTCAGAGGCTCCAAATAGAAGTCCTATCAACGGCTGATACATTCAAGGAACAACCCTCTGAGAGAAGAATAGTGTCAAAGAGTCCAAAGCCAGGGTTTAGGGTTCTAACCTTAGACGACATCCTCAATCAAAACTGCACACAGGGAGTCAGGACGTAGAGCAAACGGATAAGCCTCATATAACAGGGAGTCAGGACTAGAAAAGTTTAGACATCTCGCAGGTTAAATCAACAGAGAAATACAGAGACTGAAACGAGACATGATAGTTCCACCAATGACAAGCAGCATACAGCTACAGTCACCAAGGTCAATAACAGCCTAGAACAGCCTTTTCCTTTTTTTTTTTTTTTTTAATAAATTAAAAATTTTAGCTTAGAAAACAAGCTAACTTAGGCAGGGGTGAAGATCGGTACATCCTTCTACAAGGAAGTAATCAATGCCGTCTTCATGGCCTCCAAGCCATAAGGGGGAGGAGCGTTAGTGGGTAAATGTCGTACTTTTTTGACTTGGCGGGGGAATACGAACCGGACTGATGCCACCCAAGAGCCTAGCTCAGTGGGTACACCCTTGAACTGTTGAAATACAGACCTGTGTTCGAATCCAGATGATGGAACTTGACGAGTAAAGCCAACTACTAATGAATTGCTTGGGGCCGGTCAGCTCAATGATAATATCTCAAGGCCGTCGCCCTTTTAAAAAGAAAAAAGAAAAAAAAAAGGAACCGGACTGATGCTCCCCAGAATGGAAAAGGAGGCAGAACCTTAAAGCACCAGTACACCACACATCGCCCCCCCGGTGTCAAGCACAAAACCCACACCACTTCCGAGGCCGCCATTTTTTTTTTTTTCAACAGCGCCCCACGCCGTGCGGCCCCTCCGAGTTTTGCTTGTGGCGACAAAAACTCTCTGCAAGGCTGGGGCTGTGTACTTGCGGTTTAAACTTTAAGGTTCTTTTTTTTTTTTTTTTTTTTTTTTAAGGGTCCAACGTTAGACAGTCCAGGGAGTCCCCAAAAAGAGGAAAAAGAAGTAAAAGGCTAGGCATTCCCCCTCCACAACCCTCCCCCCTCCCCCCAAGACAGGCATCCCGAGGGTTGGACAACTGCCCCTCCAGCCTCAGGATATAGATATAGTAATGATATACTCAGTAGAGAAATCCAGAACTTAAGCCTCCGTAATAGCACCCGTATCCGCTGCTGCCTTTATTGCCGCCTTTGCAAGTAGTGCGAACTTTTGCCTTTGGATCTACACAACGGCTTGCCCCACCGCCTTTCTTGGCAGCAACACCTCTTCCAAACCTACCTTGGCCAAACAACCCTCCTCTTCTATTTAGCCTCTGATTTCCATACAAATTCGGCTTCGTTTCGGCTGCATTTGACTTTAATCTTGGCACAGGTTTTGCCCCTCGAAACGTGCAGCACGAGGGAAAACCAAAGTACAATAGTTTCGACACAAAAAGGCGCTCCAGCTAGAAGCAACACTGTTACCAAGAATTTGCCAGAGAGACAATTCTCTCTGTACAGGTTTTAAGAACCCAGGACTCCAGGAGGCAATTCTCTTCAAAATCTGCAACAATCTGACATAGAGACTTGAACGCCAAGAACACGGTCAGAACCCTGGCCAGGAACGCGTCAACGCACTTGATTCACCAATCCACTTGCAAACAGTGTGGAGGGGGTGTAGGACATAAACTTACTTGGTCCAGTTGATGGAGGCCTCAGAGGATAAGGTGTGTGAGGCCGTACTCACACGAGCACTCCCCTAAATGTATCGGACAGATTCTGACTTCAATTACGGCCAAACCTGGATGCATTTGACTGCAATCACGTCCAGATATCAGCCAGAAAAGGCCTAGTGTGAGTATGCCCTGAGTAAGTAGGGAAAAAGTTTGATAAACTGACTTGTTCAGTGGAGGCCTCAAAACAACATGCAATATGGAAACAGAACTCCAAAACTCATTCAATGATTTTTTTATCCTAACAGCTACCAGCAGATCATCTGCTCCCCCGCCCCCCCACCCCGCCCGGCCTCCCTGCCCCCTCCCCGCTGTTCCCCCCGCTGTTCCCCCCGCTCTTCCCTTTGGCATTATTATGCCTTAAATTGTCCAAGAGAATTTTCATGTAAATGTAATGACCCGCCATAACACAGACTGAGAACTGCTGATTTCTGAAGTTCTGCCGATGGAATGGATCCCTTGCTGAGATTCCCGCATTCTGCTGTGTTTTCTAAGTCTGCATGTGTGCGTGCCTGTTGACTTGCGTGCCTGTCTGAGTGCTTGTCGGCATGAGTGTGTGTGTGACCCGTAAGGGTACTTGCTTGTTTGGCAGGCCCGTAGGGCCGGTACTTACCTGTGGCCGTGGCATTGAGGGTTGCAGCAGGGAAAACACTCAAGTAGCGGGGCCAGGGGCCAGCGGTGCTTAGAGCAGCGGAAAAACACTCGAGTAGCAGGCTGGAGTAGCGCTGGGTACTACAGCGCTGCTGGGAGGAAGAAGCCGGGAGCTTCCACCATGGCTATGGTGGAGCTCTACCGGTAGGAGGAGGGAGAAGGGGACCAAGGAGGAGAGTGGTGGGGTACTTACCTGGCTGTGGTAGACACCATCTTCATCACCTTGTTAGGCGCTGCATCTGGAAGGCCCCAGTGGGGGTAGTGCCGCATCAAGGAAGCTCGGGACAGAGTCAGGCATGGCGGTTGAGTGAGCAGCGGCATAGCTGCATGGAGTTGACTTGGGGACAGAAGGGCAGCGACATAGCTGCTTTGGGTTTGTCCTTTGGACAGGAGGGAGAGCCCTCAGTACTCCGCCATAGCCTTGGCATGTATGTAGAGGAAGAGGAAGGGTGGCCATGGCTATGGTGGACCTCATGTTGTGCCTGCAGTAGAAGTGGGATTCGGACATTGATTCTGGTTCAGCCATTCRACATTATTATTGTTATTTCTTGTTTGAATAAGAGGGGAGGAGATAAGGAGGAGGAGATTGGTTGGCGAGGAAGGAGAGCCTTGTCATTGGTCTATGCTGGAGTACATCATCTTCTTCTTCTTTCTTACTTCTTCTTCTTCTTCTTCTTTCCCTCTCTCTCCTCTCAAGTTCATTCATTTCTTTTT